CTTAAGAAATAAATTATTGTAATGGTAACTTAAAAGTGGTCTGTTTTTCTTTTAATTATATATATATATATATATATATATATATATATATATATATATATATATATATATATAGTCTTAAGGTGTGCTATATTTATGGGATAAGTTGCTCACTATCAGAGATAGGTGTGTAAATATAAAGAAACATAGATAATTCATAGAAATAACAGTCTATTTCATGCTGGACGCAATCGCCAGGCCAATGAGGATTGCGTCTAGCATAAACCAGACTGTCGCCTCTAAATGTTGACATTTATATAAATATATATTGTGTGTGTGTGTGCGTGTGTATCCGTGTGCGTGTGTGTGTGTGTGTGTGATTGTGTTAGTGTGTCTTTGTCCCTTTGTGTACGTGTTTGTGCGTTAGTATAAAGAACAAATATGAAACGTTTCTCTGTCTAAGAAGTTTCACCAGAGAATGAGATATGCAGAAAAATATATTGTCCTGTTTGATTTCCATTGGTTTAGCGGGCTTCACGTGCATTTGACATGGTAAGCACCGTTAGTAATATCCACATAATGTATACTGACAAACAAGTTTCTTTGAAAACGTTCAGATTTGTTTTATTTTTTCGTTCAAGTAAGTGAAGCTTAAGAAAATACTTTGCTACAACCAAGGAGCCGAATCTCCAGTATTTCCCCTTAGTTTGAAGAGTAAAAATAAATTCTCAGTGAGACAAGCTTTTCTCAGAACTGCTCATGTTTGTTACATGCTTCTTTGTGTTTTATATGCTGTTTACTACATCATTTATTTAAATGGTAATAGTAACTTTAGCCGTTTGCCTATAAGGAAACATTTGGCATTCATTGGCCAAGCATTCGGTTGAGATTTGTTTTATATTTCTTTGAGAAGAATTTGTTATCGCTCTTTCCGGTACTTATGGGTGTTTCTCTCCTAATCTTCTATTTGACGTGGTGTGGAACGTCAACATCTTGATTTTGTCACTTTTAGTATCGGTCTGTCTGATATATATATATATATATATATATATATATATATATATATATATATATATATATATATATATATTATTATTTTGCCGCTGTTGGTAGACCTCAAGTTATGTGGATTATGCTATTTCCTTTACAGTTCATTTTTTTTTTTCTGTACAGATGCTGCTCACCACTTTTTCAAAGAAACATGGTCTATGCCAAGCCCTCACTATTTATTTGCTTAAAGCTATTTTTAACCTTGGATCTTAGAAAGCGGTTGTATGCAGCTATCTAGATATTTCTAAACAGGTTTGGCGTCATGAATTGCATCTATATGAAATTCTCGATCTGTCCAGGCTAATTATGATCAAGTCTCGGGTTTCAGGTTTGTCGAAACTACCACTGGCGCAACATATTCTTTGTTTAATTTCCATTTCTCCGACTATTGATTTGTTATAACTGATCCATATACGAAATATTTGAAGAATTTAGTATTTACTAATTCTACATCCTGTTGTTTATGATTGAGTCAGTGTATGTATCATAACAAGCAGATGTTCCGCACATTCGGCTTTGAAACATATCTAAAAAAAAAAAGGTAGACATTTTCGTTTTGACTAGAATTAAGAAGGTGTATATCGACCCGTTTTTGGAACTTGGATGATTATCAAGCTTTTCTCGCTAGATGAATTAAGATTTTATGATCCTCACTGGATACCCCATACTTTCAAAACTTGTGTGACATCTAAGCTTAGCTTATAAAATAACCTTAGCACACAAATATATAGCCTTGTAATTAAAAGAATCAATAAATTACATAGATTAATTAGCAGCAGGGCCCGGCGTTGCCCGTGCTTGATTCAAATATCGTACGACTCATACAGCAATCGCTATCACTTAACTTAAAATATTTTTGCCCTTCCTTGCCTTTAAAGGAGCGCCCTTTGCCGTGCTGATGTTGCTACATGCCTTAATTCTTGCCTATTTAACACTGCGAATTTTTTCTAAGCTTTATACTAAACATTAAATCTGTTACGAAAATAGAACTAAACAAAATGAACACAAAACGATCAAAGAAGAACTCGTTATTGGAAAAACCGAATGAAAAAAGAATGTTAACAACAGATACTTTTTCACACCCAACCCAGTTCTGCGGAATCAGAATCAACGTTGAGTTTAAGCAAGCGAATGAGCCTATTGGAGTAAAGTGCCATGCAGATTTAAAATTTTCCCACTCGTGACGAATGCAGCTATCGTTTTTTTTTTTTGCATGCTAACATGTTAGTTAACATTCGTGTCAATCAGCTGTTGGCTCTCACGCTGGCCAATAGAATCTTCCTATCTGCCTATTCGTGGCAGCCATCTATTGGCTCTCACTCTGCCCAGTAGAAAATGGCTGCAAACTACATGAAAACTGCCGTATAAGCATGAGAAAATCGATTATTTCCACTATCGATGGAAGTTGGGAAATATAAAGTCGGTCTTGGCGTTCCCGCTAACTTGGAACATGTGCATGTAAATTTTGGTCCAAATCCGTAGGAAATTGCGGCCGTGCATTCGTTAAACAAACAGACACACACACACATCATGCCTTTCATAGATAAAGTACGGAAATATAAAGATACCAATGGCGTAAATGTATATAGTTTCACAGATTTACGATACTTAATGTTTAATATAGGTACCTCCACAAATTCTAGGTTTAAAAAGTTAAAAAAAAAATTGTTTTAAATGAAAAATATTTTTATTTTATTTTATTTCAATTTCAATCTCATAGTTTAAATTTAATATTTCCAATAAGCAAAGCACTTTACTGTATTTCAAACTAATTTAAATTAATTTGAAACCGTTTACGTTGTGAAATAGCTGATTTTTCTTCTTTTCTTTATTTTAGCGCCATTTTTAGCCATCATTATCAGAATTTAATACTCTTCATTATAAAATCTTCCAAAAATAAAATATACTTTTCTGAAACTTTCTTTGAGAAAATATTAGCTGATAATAGTTTATCTGATTTGAAACAAATACTATTTGCTTTATTTTTAAGTTTAAACTATCGCAGAAATGCTATTTTTCACAGAGATCTAACTGCTTATGTTAACTTTTCTGGTGTTGACAGTTTGATGACAGATGAATGTTTACCCAACGTTGATCTACGGGTGCTTTAACTGCATAAAAGTAATTGAACTGCATAACGTGAACGCCTTTTAAATATATAATTTTTAAGTATTCAACAATCTTTAAAAATTAGGAAAATATTCTGCGTAATCTAATGTTTTATTGAATTTTATGAATTTTGAATTTAAATTTACTATAGCTATCGCTCTTATTTTCAGATAATATTGTGTATGTACAACCGTATCTACAAAAATCAGGACGTTTATACACATACCAAAAGAATTAAAAATTCTTTTTAAAATATTGGTGTTTGTGGATTTTGTTAAGTTTTTCCATTTATGATTAGTAAATATAGTTTTTACTTAATAATAATATTATCTAAAATGCTGAAATTAATACAGAATTTTAAAAGATTTAAATATTAATAAATTATTCTAATTAAAATTTTGAAATAAACGAAAAACATTCTTGTAAACATGCATTATTCATTGACTTTTTTTCTTAAGACAGTAATGCCCTTAAGATGTCTTATTTAGAAATGCAATTAAAAAGTTTTATTGCATTATTATTTTACGATTCAGAGCAAATTTTCGGTAAATGGTGTTTCTGTTTTACAAGACAAAAAAAAAACGTTGACTTAAATTCTCCAAGTAGTCCTGATTTTAACTAATATGAATATGAATTGGCTGAAATTTTAATTTCTCGTAATTTTTTGAAATTAAATGGCGGGGCAAGGACAATATATCAAAAAAAATAATAACCAAGATTTTCAAAAAAAAAAAAAAAAAGAAAATTAAAAATAATTTCTGAAAGATTAATTAAAATCCGACAATTATTTGATATTTGATAGGAATTCCAAATGATTTTTTTTTTACCTGAAAACGACGCTAAATTTCAAATACAAATTCCTGGCCCACTCGCTCACGCGAGGAAAACAAGATTTTTACCAAAAATTTCGAACGTGTTACAAAGGATTAAAAAAAATAATAAAATATATTTTGGTCATTTCTCTTAATAGTAATAAAATCAATTTAACTATAAACATTGTTTTTATCAAGTTTGGGGCTTTTTTGATCATGGTATTCTCTTTTTTAGCGAATTAAAGGAGGTACCTACGTATTTTGAAACTAAATTAAAGGTTGCGAACACTGTAAAAAATCAGTGATCAATTATGAACAGTATTTATATTATGAACAGGACATTCCTTATAAATCAATAAAAATATCTTTTGATTCTGACAAATTCTGTGGCTTCAGTAGTGTTTAAAGAACGCTACTCTATAAAAATGATTCCGTATTATTTGTGCCAGGCTATGCATCTATTGTGAAGAATGGTGGTGGGAATATCAGCCGTGTTCTTCCAATGAAACATGTGGCATTCATTGACCGAACATGTACTGCTTACAGTTGGAATTTATAATGTATTCGACTTAATTTACCAAGGAAACATGTTTCTCAGCTCCAGTAGCTGTTATCGCACTTTTTAGCAATAATGGGAGTTTCCTTCCGAAACTTTTATGTCATTATTCTCTCTTCGAATTCAATGTGTCATCCAAATTGTAATAATAAAGTTATTGCTGCTGTTGCTAGTCCCTCAAGTGATGTTGATTTTGCTATTTTGTACAGTTCTTTGTCTTTTCATTTACACAGCCCGCTCACAATGTTCAAAGAAATATGGTCTTTGTCAAGACCCTCACTATTTTCTAAAAGCAATGTTTGACCTGGGGTCTTAGAAAGCGTTTCTATACAGCTATCTGTCTAGATATTTCTGAGCAGCTTGGTGGCATGCATTGCATCTATATGAAAGTCTCTGGGCAACTCGAGGCGGTGTAATGTTTAGCAAGCTTGTCTGGCTAGAACAATTACGATTGAGTAGTGAGTTCAATCCTCACTGGGCGGCACACTACTTTCGGCTTTGGGCCACAACTAATCTATACTTGGAAAATCAGTTTAGGCACCCTGAGGCTGTGTAATATTTAGCAGCTTGTCTCGCTAGAACATTTACGAATTACTAGTGAGTTCGATACTTACTGTGTGCCCCATATTTTCGGCCTTGTGCCACATCTATTTTACGCTTGGAAAATCACTATATGAAAGTCTCGATCTGACGAGGCTATTTAATATCATGCCTCGAGTTTTTAGATTTGTCGAAACTATCCCTTGCACAGCATATGCTCTGATATATATACGGCATATTTGAAGTGTTTAGAATTTAATAATTTCACATCCTGATGTTTATGATGGGGTCAGTGGAAGCATCATAAGAATCGGATGTTCCTCACTGTGTACCCCTCGCATTTTTATAAAATATAAAATATTTCACTTAAAAAAAGTTGCCAATGAGTCAGGTTTCTAAATTCCAGTAGCTGTTATCGCTCTTTCTAGCATTGATGGGAGTTTCTTTCCTTAACTTTTATGTCAGTATTCTCTATTCGAATTATACGTGCTATCAAAATTGCAATAATAAATTTGTTGCTGCTGGTGGTAATCCCCAACTGAGGTGATTTCTGTTATTTGGTACACTTTTTTGTTTGTAAATCTATTGCGTCAGTCCACAATGCTCAAAGAAATCTTTTCTCCTGATATATACGTATCATCTTTCTGAAATCTCCAACGAGTTTCTATTTTTCAGGATCATATTGAAGTCTTAGGGCGCTAAATCCGTTCTCTTGTGATGATCAAAAGGATTTGTCATGTCTTGCAGAAATATACAAACCTGAATTAAATAATTTACCAGGTTAGTAACTGAGATGCAACGTTTATACACCCAACATGCTCATTCAGTGACGTTTAATTTCAGACAGAGTAATTCTACGGGAGAACATCTGTTCTTGTCTTTGTAATAACGTCTCCTTTGATTATGTGCCAAAGAATATCAGAAATTAGTAACATGTTCTTGAGATTTCAGTATGGCTGTATTTATTCCGGACGGAACTCGTATGCTAAAAAAAAATATATGTTTGTCAATTACAAGGGAAGTTGAAACGACATTCCAACGTTGAGGAGATTTATTGCAATTAAAAGGGAACATAAATAAATGCAGGGAAATATGGAATGAAATAAAAAATAAAACTGGGAGAAAAAATATTAAAAAAAAGTGACCAAGAAAATAGTTGTTGACAACAAGGTCGATAAATGTGTAATATGAGCTATCTATATGAAAAATGGCGTTCGAAAAAATGACAAGCTGAAACCTCAGTGGGAGAAAAACAAACGAGATGTACGACATAGCAAAAGAACGAACCAACAAAAATAAATAAATGCCAACGATTAAAAAATCCCTAAATGACTAAACTCCTTGTCTGTTTACCAAGAGCTTTCGCCAATATCTGGTGATAAAAGACATTCTAATTATCTCCCCTGAGTGAAATATTTTCCCTTTCGCGATACTTTAAGTCATACTTAACAAAAACCAAGGACGTCTGCCCCGCTATAAATATTCGGAAGATATGGGCTCCAATTTTGCTGACAAGAATTGTTATAAATAGCCAATAATGGCCGCCATTGTACATGCTTGGTTCAAGCGGGGAAGTGACAGGCGAAACTATGAGAAACAAAACCGAGAAAAGAAAACAAGTTCTGCTTGGATCGTACGATACGAGAAAAGTTTATCGATGATAAATCAGGCCATGATATTAAGCCAAGAATAACGTGAATGCATTTGACCTTGCATACAAACACACGTCATAGTGACCAGGGCAATACGAATTTGCAAGGAGCTTTGACATGGCTGTTGCTATTTCTTTTTTTTGTTTTTTGTTTTTCCCTCTTCTTCTTCTTTTCCTCCTCCTCCTTCTTCTTCTTCTTTAAATACTGCCACACCTTCAGTTTTACTCATCATTTGTAACACTTTCTTTTTCTGTGCCGTCATTTTATGTATCATTCTTCTTCTTCTGCTTCATCTTCTTTAAATGCTGCCCCACCTTCTTCTTCTTCTTCTTCTTCTTCTTCTTCTTCTTCTTCTTCTTCTTCTTCTTTAAATACTGCCACACCTTCAGTTTTACTCATCATCTGTAACACTTTCTTCTTCTGTGCCGCCATTTTATGCATCATTCTTCTTCTTTTTCTTCTTTTTCTTCTTCTTCTTCTTCTTCTTCTTCTTTTTCTTTTAATGCTGCCCCACTTTCTGTCTTACTCATCTTCTGTTACCCTTTCATTTTGTCCTACCTTTAATTTTATTCTTCTTCTGTGCCCCCCTTTTTATATGTATCATTCTTCTTCTTCTTCTTCTTCTTCTTCTTCTTCTTCTTCTTCTTCTTCTTCTTCTTCTTTAAATACTGCCACACCTTCAGTTTTACTCATCATCTGTAACACTTTCTTCTTCTGTGCCGCCATTTTATGCATCATTCTTCTTCTTCTTCTTCTTCTTCTTCTTTTTACACAGCTGCCCCACCTTATACCTGTAGAATAAGATTTCTCCATTCTCTGTTTTAAACCTGTTAAAAGAGGATCCCTGCTAAGTATTCTCAGTCTGTGCTCTTTAAAATCGGCTCCAGAGTTCAGTTCGAAACAATGCTGTTTGATTGGTCCATAAATAATAATGTCATATTTCTGCCTACTTCGAGTGGACTGAATTCAACGCTACAAAACATAGATAAACTTTCTTTCGAGTCTCCCATAATTCATTAATATGAAATTTTGACTCGACTTAGTGAGTCCTTAAAATATTCAACTCGTCACACGAATCCTTGAAACCCAACTGCTTCGCTAAAAGTTAATATTTATTAACATAATCCCGGCTTGTGTAATTCAATATCTTTTCAACATCAACTCATCTAGTGACTAATTCCATCAAGACGAGATTCAGAAACCAACTAACACAATATCTTATTTAACATAAAGGAAATCGTAAATATATCAATCAAAGCGAGACAATTTTACACTAAGTCAAGCAATCTATTTCATTCAATTTCATCAACATAAACTGTTTCATTTCTTACCAGAGCTATATCATAACACCTTTGATCACACAACCAAGAAAACTATAGTGTTTTAAACAATCTCTGTCTATATTTCTGAGATGAGGTATTATGTCCATTATTGACATTATTCAGACCATTGTTCTCATCTTTGTCGCCATATTTATTACAACGTTTAGAACTAGAACAGCCTACGCCAGTGAGCGAAATAATGGATTCAGTTCGACATTCCAACCACCTGGAGAAGGCCGGAGCGTACAACGGCCCAAACGTTGTAATAAATATGGCGACAAAGATGAGAAAAATTGTCTGAATAATGTAAATAATGTTTTATACAACTGTATTATATCGTGTGTACTTGTTGTTATATAAGAACATATTTTAGGCTAAAACAATATCTGGCTATTTGATTATTTCTCTTGTATTTGATTTTAGTAAAATTAGTAGAGGGTTAGTTTAATCTGTATTTGTCAACGCTTCAGATTGACTAACCCACTACACACCTTGTCTTGACCTTATTTTCCTTCTTTTTCTGTCTCCCTATCTTCTTAGGTTTCATTCTTCGTCTTCTTCTTCTTCTTCTTCTTCTTCTTCTTCTTCTTCTTCTTCTTCTTCCCATTCTTCTTTATTTTCGTTTTTTTTTCATCTTCGTTTCCTTCTTTTATTTCATACTTTTTCTTCTACTGCTGCCCCATCTTTCTCTATTTTACACATCTTCTTTTACCCTTTCTTCTTTTCTTACCCTTATTTTTCTTCTTCTGTCTCCTTTTCTTATGTTTCATCCATCTTCTTCTTCTTCTTCTTCTTCTTCTTCTTCTTCTTCTTCTTCTTCTTCTTCTTCTTCTAACCCACTCTTCTTCTTCATTTTCGTTTTTTTCCGTCTCTTTTTCCTTCTTTTATTTCATACTTCTTCTTCTACTGCTGTCCCATCATCCTCTATTTTACCCATGATCTGTTACCCTTTTTTCTTTTCATACCCTTATTTTTCTTCTTCTCTCTTTCACCCATTTTCTTCGTCTTGATCATCATCATATCATTCACCTTTCTTCTTCTGTTTCTCCATTTGCGTGTGTCTTCCTCTTTTGGTCTTCTTCGTTTTCTATTAACCCTTCTCCATCTTATGTTCTACCACATTCTTCTTCTTCTTCTTCTTCTTAATATTGTATTAGGACATCCAATAGTAAAACATCGCTATTATTTTTTTATGATTTGGGTACCCTGAGTTTCCGTGCTTTCAGCTTGGTAATGATGGTCATATCTCAACTCTGACTGACAGCGTACATATATTCTTCCGTCTGCACACACCCAGTGATGTCATAAATACCCAAGGTGTCTTCCAGACATTTTTGGAGATAGTGCTGACTGAATTAATAGATCTACTGTGTAGAACATCTCTCTAACTTGCCCAGTCAGGTTTTGTTTGCTGGGTATATTCTTCTGCTCTTCCTTTACATCAATCTTATCCCGGGGTCTCGCAAGGTCTGTCGGATCTTTTGTGCCCACTTGTAAATGTTTTTATGGCAATTTTGCTAATGAACGTCCTCGGTACATTCGATGCAGGATAATTAGCGTTGTATTAGATTGGAATTCGATTGCTGTTTTTTTATTTTTTTATTTTTCTGCCGGAATAGTTCGATGAAAAACTCAAGATCTATTCTAGTAGTCCTTTTCTTCACTTCCGTTTATCTTCTTTACTGACACCAACGATATTCAGAACCTTAAAAGCACCATCAGTCGTCAACTTCATTCCCCCCTTTTTTTTTTGCTTTCCTTTCTTCTAATTAGTGCCTTCTCATTTTAATTCAATCTCAGTAATCCATTGGCATTATCACCTTCCTTGGTGTGAAACGATAAACATGTATCAGGGAGATTACTCTCAAAGCGCTTGTCAGTCAGCATACGACATTGGCTCCACTTGCTTATAAATATGTGGCGTATATGATGTTATCTTCTGTGAGATTTTCCGGTGGTGTATCTGTTAACAGTGTTTCCAGAGCATCGTGGTATATTTGCAGAGTTTGCTTATTGAATTTCGTCATATGAATTTATGAGAGCTGGTCTCCGTATGACAATTGTGTGAAGGTTACTCTGCTGAGTATTTGAATGGCGTGGTTTTTCGCTTCGGTGTTTTCAGCGAGGTGGTTTTCAAGGAAATCCAACAATGTAGCTGGAGTCTTCTTAAGGTCTGTTGGAATATTCTATTTTGGCGATAGAACATGCACCGTTTTTCGTATCGTCTTAGATTCTGTGCCTTTAACTAAAGTTTCTGTTTCAGGAATTCTTTGATTAATGTAATTACAATTAGGGTTTTAATTTTATATTTCCGCTTGGACTTCTTCCATTTTCGTGTGGAAATATTAGGATTTCTGGTGAGCTCATCTAATATAGAAAGCTCACAGATGATTTCCTTTATTTCTCGAATCAGTTTTGCGTTGCAAGCAGTTTGTCTATAACTGTTAATTCTTTTTCATTGTTTTGACTACAAGCTTCCCAGTAGCTGCCAAAACTGATACGTATATGCTGTTTTTAACTTCTGTGATATTTCCCAGTGATTTATCCGTTAACAGTGTTTCCAGAGCAGCGTTGAATATTTGCACAATGTCCTTATTCGACTTCGTCATATGAATCTTTGGGACCTAGTCTTTGTCTGACAATTGTGTGAGAGTTAATCTGCTGAGTACATGGATGACGTGGAATTTCGCTCTGTGGTTTTCAAGGAATTCTACCTCAGTGTAATTGGAGTCATCTTCAGTGACATTGTCTAGATAACCTCAGGTTATGTCACAGGTAGATTCTTCGATTTTCTTACCTGGGAGGGTATATCGTATTTCATTCTTTTTTTTTTTAGTTTCTACCTCATCCTCTGTCATATTATAATTTCATCTCTTTACAGTTTGAGTGATGGATTATAGTATTCTGCCTTATAACTTATTTTATCTTTTTCTGCATTTGAGAGTCTTTTATTTCACACAGCGTCCCTGTGGACATTGGCAAACATGTTTGGGTTGAGGTGAGGTCTTATATCACGTTCTACAATAGGTCTCCATATTTGGTATGTCTGATTCGTGATGTCCTTTGCTGGATTTTCGAGTGCAATGAAGAATGATGCCATGATTTGTTGATATTCTTCGCGAGACCATTTCGTTCGTTTTCCTTTTATTAGTTGATTTGGCATTGAGTCACTTGTTCCAAGGTTGGGAATAATCCGTATTGGTGACGTAGTGTCTCTTCGTTTTTGGAAGAGTTTGTTCCAGTGATAAATGTTTTGGCCCCAGACTGGTTCCTCTCTGAGGTACGCGGCCCTTTTTGTCTCGGGTGACGACCGATCCGGTATGAAAATTTATTCGTATTCATTGAAATTCGTAGAATTTTGCGTTTTTATCCTTGACCGCAAAGGGATAATTATATTCAAGTTACCAGCTCAAGGACATCACTCAAAGAACACCAGAGAGCTCTTCCAATGAGTAGTATGGCTGCGGATTATATTCATATAACGGCAGTGAAAGAGTTCATAACTGAATATTGTATTCAGTGGGATTGCTTATGCGTATAGACATGGCACTAACTATACTAAGTTTTAACTTAGTACAAGTCGGAGTGACCGCTACCAGATTTAATATCAGACTTTAATATTGACCGCTATTCCTAAAAAGAAAAAAAAAGAAAAAAATCAGAAGGGGGAGGAAAGAGAGAAAATTAAAATGAGAGAAGTTAAATAAAGTCAAAGATATTTTAATGACATCAAAGAAAAGGAAAAATGTAATTTAAAATGGTATAAAATTTATGATTTCTTACATGTTGAGAGTTACGGCACAAATGTCATTCTACCGGTGTTCAACTTTCCGACGACAATGAGAGTGATAGTTAGCAAGTTTTATAGGGTAAACAACCCACACTACAATTTGGCGGAACAGCTCTCAAAGAATTCATTAAACAAAGTGGGAGAGATATGAAAAAGAAAAAGAAATAAATTCCGGGTCATTTCACAACTTGCTAGCCGCTAAAAGATAAATTTTAAATTTTCACTCAAATAGAAATCAGTCAAAAAGCAAAACATTGTCAGATCAGTATACTTATATGAAAAAAAAATGAGGCAATTTGAAAAAAAAAACAAATCAGTCAATATGATCCCTACCCTATCCGAATACCCATGAGAATATGCACACACACACACAAATATATATATATATATATATATATATATATATATATATATAGATAGATAGATAGATAGATAGATAGATAGATAGATAGATAGATAGAGAGAGAAATACATACATATGCGCACATGCATATATACACGCATCGACAGAGATATATTATTCCGTGGAGGAAGCAAAAATGGACGGAAGTTTCTGATGGTGTTTGCTAACACTGTGCAATTTGATACAAGTTGATCATTGCTTCTGCATTATTGTTATTATTATTATTGTTGTTGTTGTTTGTGTTGTTGTTGTTCTTATTGTTGTTGTTGCTGTTGTAATTATGTTTA